GTGCTTGTAAATGTCTTTATATTAATATATTTATGGGGAATTAAGAAAATTCTCGACTGTAAGTAAAATGGCGTATCTAGTCGCGTTGCAGGGAATTTTCAAAGGTCGGAGGTTGATACGCAACAAATGGATTAAAGGAATGCTTAGGTTAACCTTCCAGCGGGCGAGCTAACGCAAATTTTACGACATATCGTGCATCCTATTACAAATATATATCGTGTTATTTTACAAATAGAAATGCAACTTTTATTTATGTTATCTGTATTTATTAGCTTAATAGTAAACAAAGGGTACTTACGTATTAACGCCACCGCAGCTACAGATTGGCGGTAATGCGCCAATAAAGAGATTGGCGGCACTTAAAAACCGCCAAATCTGTAGCTGCGTTGGCGTTGATACTTAAAAACCGCCAAATCTGTAGCTGCGTTGGCGTTAATACGTAAGTACAAAAACGCCAAATTGGCGGCATTTAAAAACCGCCAAATGTGTAGCTGCGGTGGCGTTAATACGTAAGTACCAACAAATATTTTATAAATAAAAATTGCACTTAAATTTATAAAAGAACGATATAAATATGTAATACGATGCACAATGCAAGTATCTCTTGCAACCGCGCGCCCGCTGGAAGTTTAAGAATAAATAATATACATGAAACTTAGAATTTCCAAGAATTCAATAGACTTTCACAAGAGTACAGACTTTTATTCCCAAATTGCGATATATCGCCCGACTAATAAAGGTAATTGATGACTGGTTATAATAATATGGTGGTGGTAATATTGTTGCTGTTGGATACGAGTGATTATCATTAAATCGCACCTTTTATTCCAGGAAAAGCATACACGAGATTCGAAATTCCAATTTCACATTCCAGTGAAATAGGAATGGTATTATTAAATTGTATATTTTATTCCAGGAAAAGCATGGAGTAGATTCACAGTAATTTTTCATGCAGTGCGGTAGAGTAATATCTTATATTTCATACTGCAATCTTTCCAATTTGCATTTTGCAAAATAATCAGGTCGCCGAAAACATAAACAAGTTATTGTTTCATTTTCCGAAACTATTTCCCAATCTTTGTTATGGACATCGAGTCGAAGAAATATGATACATAAACTACAATTTGTTTAATTATAAAAAAATCTTCATTGTTGAAATGCTTCAAATCTTCTACAACAGTGGACACAGTTACAAAATTTCAGATGATAGGTGTGAGAGAATACCGTTTAGAGTATGATAATTGCAATGAGACTTCATCAAAGTTAGCCATAGAAAAATATTGCCGTAGTTATCAATAATTCATTATTTGGATCCATTCGAAAAAAATAGATTAAAATACTTTAAAAAATTTCTGATTCTACAGTGTGACCTAACTCTATAAACATGTATGCTCTGCATAAATTATAAAGTATTTTACAAAATTATAATCCATATAATCTATATAACGTCATTACCAAAACACTTAACGATTGGCAGGTAAGGTATATTATAGAACTGAATTTTTTAAGTGTATTTGGAAAGCAAATCTATCCTTCCCACTCAATTTCTAAAAAATTTTTTGTCATGCAGTGTCAGATTAAACAAACTACAACTTTGTTTCCTAACTTTAAATGACTTCATTTTTCTTTACTTCATTAAAACCTATACTGAGCATCTGTTTCATTTTATTTTTTTTTCTATAAAGTGACTGCACAAGAACTGCTTCATCTTATCAAGCAAAGTTTTTGCTTCAATATTTAGTTGAATTTATGCTTTTTTTTCTAGAGTAGAGCAGTTTGTTATGTAAAATCACCTTATTATAATGCCAAAGCAAAATGATAAATTGAACTCCTGACAGATACAGAAGCAAATTTTTAAAGTAAAAATGTATTTATTATTATACTTTCTAATAAAAGAAATCAAGACATGGAATTGGCTGATACAACAAAATGATTATTAAAAGTTTGAATCGGACTTCTGAAAAATTATTCTCCGAAAAAAAATTATCTTTGCGTCCGAAGGGTTCCAGGTTCGAAACCTGATTCCACTGAAGATCCGCCATGTATGGGGCCTGTTACACGCTAAATCATACGTAGTGGCCAAACGTCCTCCCGTTGGTGTGGCGTGGAAGTTTGGAGAGGGGTGCCAGCTCAGGTGTCGTCCTCGTCATCTGACCGTGGTTCAAAATTACGAGGTCCATCCCAAAATAGCTTCATGTTGCTTCAAAACGGCACGTTAATATAACTAAACCAAAGAAAACCAAATAAAAAATTTTACTAATAAAAAGTAAAAAGCGCTCACTGAATATCGTGGTTATAGAGCGCTTGTCGCCTATGTATTGCCAGGGCTCTCTTATCCAATAGGCTGTAGAGAAGGGGCGCCTTCGATACAAAGAAAAATCTATTATATTGATTTTATTTTAATTTTTAAATATGTTAAATTAAAGATACTATTAGGGCGTGTAACTACAGAGCCATCGATTCTGTAATGTTACATAAAAATGTATATCTTTTCAAAAATATTCATACAGAGATAATACACTAAAAAATACTAAACTATGCGTCTTATAGAAGTTACCTACCTTACGGAAGCTGGTTTGTAAAATCGTATTTTGAAAAGGAGCTGATTTCCAAAATTGTAAGGCGTTAATCAGAGAATAGGTGACTTTATTTTGCCCATCAATTAATTTATTAGGAAGGTATTTCGTTGTGCCATAGGCGCTCAAACTGCTAGTTAGCGTGTTTATAGGGCGCTAAATTGTTGTAGCCCAGGGCGCTCAAATTTATTAAGACGGCCCTGTCCACTGCGCAATTATATGCTCTTTATTTTTGAATCATATGTCATGCACTGCATTATGCGAAAAGTTATAATACCGAAGACGAGTATAAATACGTATAATATTCGGGAATATTATTCGTATTCGGATACGAATATAATCGGAGGCGACATGGAGTTGCCATTTATACCATTTTTAAAGCAAAATATGAAGAGGAACGTAAAAATAAGAGCATACCCCTGTCACCGTCTACTCTTGTTTAGCCACTGACGACTACTTGGAGAGAAAAAACATATTTTCCGGGCGCCACTTACCCTCGTTAAGCCACAGGCCATGATTACAAAAGTTAATGTGTTTTTGTCATTTAATATAGTCGAATACGATGAGGAGGGATGAAAAAATGCCATGCCCTGAGCGCCGTTTACACAAGCTAAGTCACTGATGATGATGGGGGACCGAGAAAA